TGAGCCATATAATAAACAACTTAATAACCTCGACCGTTCGGTCGTTACGGGAAAATCTCAAACCTCGGCCTACCGTATTGACCTCGCTATCGCTCGGTCAATACGGCAAGGCCTCAGTTTGAGATTTTCCCGTAACGACCTCACTCTCGGTTATTAAGTAGTTAGTAATTGCTAGGCCCCACGAGCCTTTCGCTAAAAGCACTATTAGTGGGTAAATAAAGTTGTTGTTGTTGTTTTAACTAATATATCTTTTAAAGATCTAAAGAGGATTGTAACCGCTAGTGATGTTCATAGACATAGTGGCTTTCTTCTTTGCAGTATTATCTCTATGAATACGATGACGAGGGACTTCCCTCAAAACGTCCACGGCACTGTCTTCCTTTCGCCGTGATACATTTGTTGAGAAATGAAAGTACCGCTGGTGTAGTACAGCCCATGCCTCCTTCAGAGAAGCCTGCGAGTCCTGTTAAAGAATCTAACAAACTAACTGAGGTACGTTCAAGTAGGGGGCCTGTGTGACAGTTAGGTCGTGTTCTATTAAACCGTTTCAACCACAACCGTTTTGGGTTGATACAGTTGACGTTTCTCAGTAGAACAATTTTGCAACCGTTTTCGTTTAAAACGCGGTAACTCCTGGAAAGAGTCCTTACGCGAGCTACAATCGCGCGACATGATCACGCAAATGCTTTTTCAACTTGGTTTGATGGCGGTTGAAAAAGTTGGTCAACCAAACCACAGGGAGCACACAATCTTGTTGAGTAGGATAAATAAAGGATGAAAAGAATGAATAGTAAACCTTTGTCTCCCGTTATCATCTCTTGCACAAACATACATGTATCCTGCAAAACACTGTAGCGCTAAACTCGTACCTTGTAGGCCTTTTCGCGTTGTGCAAAAATTTACGTCATTAGAATTATATGTAAACCAGAAAATTTTTGCACAGCGAGAAAAGGCCTAGTTACTAGTTAAGCGCACTAATTTTTGCGCGACTTATTCGCGTAAGAGATGTTACTCCACAAGATTGTGTGCTCCCTGTGATCAAACCAGCCGAAAACGGTTTTTCCCCAATAGAACGCGAAAATACCCAACCAACCAGAAACGGTTGATATCAGTAGAACACGGCCTGAAACTTAAAGCTTGCGGTTTCTGTCGAGGGTCAAGTCTATCATTCGGGAACAAACAGAGAGCAAATGGTCTAATTGTTTAATATATCCCGGAGACTGAACTGTTTGGCATGCAGTCATGTCAATAAAAAAATGAGACGTTGACGGTTTTGTTTCATACTTTCTGGCAATAATACATACTGAAAGTTGGCGAGCAGAGAGACACTTGTGTAGGTAATCAGATAACGTTTTGGTCTACAGTCCAGTTTTACCGTAGAAACCCAAGTGATTAATACGTCACGTGTAGCCTTTCTTGTATACCTTGAGCTTCTCGGGATAATATTAATTCGATTCAAAATTTTTAACCGTTTTCTCTCACAGGGCATGAAGACTCCTTCCTTTAGTGACGAAGATGGCATTCTGGCATGGAGAGGCTTAGTAACGAGTAACGAAAAGAGCTTGGGTTGCGTGTCGTTATTGACGGGGCACAAACTGGGCCTCAACTTTTGGTGAGTAGTAATGGCGGACGCGCCTTGTTTTTGTGCGTGCTAAAGCTGTAACTGAGCTTTCTATGTGTATCATTACTGACGAGAAGATGAATAATCCACCGTTGTTACGAAGATCTTCCTTAAACTATCTGAGATTTAAAATAGCCCTGCTCTCATTGACATTCGCTTAGCGGGCATGACAATTTCCGCGAGGAAGCTTTCATTTTTTTTACAATGTCTTTATGGATTATGGTGGATGCTTTATGCAGTGAAAATTACATGAACCAACTGTGACTTGAGTAAGTGAGTTCAGTGTTGTCGCTATTAGTTATGTTTCGTTATTGAGATTTTTGATTATCCCCCGAAAGACTATACATGTAGCCCCCTTAGCGATCCGCGCCTTTCAGTGGTAAGTGACCACATTTCAAAGATCAAAATGTTTTCTGTGTAACTATTTAAAGTCTCTATTTCTGAAATCGCACGTAACCTTGGCATCGACAATACGAGTGGCAGCCAAAATAAGGATTATGAGTTGCATTGTGTCCTTCTTTGTTTCAGGAAATCTTATCTTGACGTCTCCAGAAAAATGCCTTTAAAACAGTTGAGTTTGATGCTACCTGGAGATGCAAAAAGCGCTTGGAAGTCACCTCGTGAGTATTGAAGGCTTCAGTCTCGTTCCCAGGGTCTATATTTACCCTGCCACTTTTAGACGAGAGGGTAGGCACGGAGACCGGTGAACAAGCTTGTTACACATGTAACCACAGTACCACAGCACAAGTAATTAAGTCCCAAAACGGCATTTTTTTTTGGTCTGAATTATGGGGTTCGAAAAGTTGAAACTAATATGAGTGGTGCAGATAGGCCTCTGTACCGTTAACTTCTACTCAAGGTCAGGTTAGTTTAGCGCGCTGTCCTCGTTACCTGGAGGTCCCGGATTCAAGCCCCTCCCTCTTGCCACCAGCTCGATTTGTTCACGTTGGTCTCGGGTTCAATTCCTTGGCCCAGCAAGTAAAAAGTTAACTGGTCCGCCTCCTGCCATTTGGGATGTTAAACTGTGTTATGTTTATTTGTAGTATTAGATTCAGAATTTGTTGACGTTGGCCCAGAAAAGCCTCATCCAGGAGTGGTCAATTAAGACCTTTGTTTATCTATTTTTATTTTATTTAAAGTGATATCCCTGGGTACGGATAATGAGTACCAGAACTGAAAGGACCATTATGAAATGAGCGGCCTGGTGAAGGTTGGGCCCACTGACGCTTGTAGTGACAGTTTATGGTGGTTTAAATGATTTGAGATTTGTTAGGGCACGTTATCAACCTGTACCAGATTCGGAGACTTTGGAGATAACAACAAAATATCATTCTTGTCTTTTTTTTTTTTTTTTTTTTCTTTCTTTTTTCCGAAATGTCCAGAGAAACGACTGCGAGGCCGCAAGTCAAATCACAGTGGACTGTGGACAGAAGTAACAAGTTTAATTATATTGATACTGATAGTCTTTATCTTTTAAAAATCCTGCCTTGATGACGATCCATTTTACCTTTTCGATAGTGTTGTACCGAAACCACGTCCTCAGTCTTTGCACAATGAAGCCGGCGCCAAGGCAACCCAATGAAAAGTTCACAAACTTCACGAGACACTTGGCCATTAAAGCCAAAGCGGTAAGTTGTCAGCTGAATAGAACTGAAAACGGCCTGTCAAACATGAAGGCCAGGCCTTTTCTCGTGGCCTAAGAACGTAAATGTAAATGCGACTGAAAGTCCGAGCTAACAAGAAATACTACTTATAATTATGGCGATTGTTTCCGCGAGAGTTTGCATTGGGGGATGGCCTTTCTTTATATCTTACAAAGTGTAATCAAATTGTTAATATGCTATGAAACGTGGTTACACAAGATAAACACACTGCGAAGCAAAGAGCGTAATTTATGGCGAAAATTTTCTAAAACGCTGTAAAAACACATCCAAAAGTCTTTTTCATTTATTTTCGAAATAAAGCCCTAATTGATCTGTGATATTCAAGAAACAGAGATTTTGGCAATACGAGTGTCCACTCTCTTGGAAGAGTTCTAAATAAATGTGTTTTTTATACCTTTTATACATTTGTCGTCTTTAATTTTTATCGAAGATTCTTTTGTAAATTACTTCAGATGACGCGGGCGTTTTTAGTAAGTGATTAATTTTATTCTTGCTTTCTTTTTCACAGGCTGGTGTACTGTGCATCGATTCATTCACTAGCTTGTTTCTTGTTCCTTCTAGTAAACTGGCCATACGTCTTGGTAGGTGTATTTTTGTCCCTTTTCTTGTTTTGAGCTTGTACTAACTGGGAAACGCAACTCCAAATTGACAAGACAATCAAATTCAATTTCGTCGTCTGCATAAAATAAGCGCGCAGTGTTTTCCTATCAATTACAAGCAGGTGATTGGGAAATACCTTCACAGGTAAGTTCTAGTTTGCAAAAAACTTTTTTCAATGCGATTTTTGGTACTTAAATGAATTCAAATTAAGTTCGATTTGACGTTCATCCTCGTCACCTGCCTGTTGAAAGTATTCGTTTACAAAGGAAGGGCAGGGCTATTTCTTGCACTAACCTTATTAGAAATTAAACGTTATATAACTCAAATTATCCTCGCATTGGTTCTTACTTATGATCTATTGGAGGAGATACGTACAGGTTACATACGTTATTAACATTTCTTGGTCTCTTTTTTTATAGAAAACAAATATATTCCATGTTGCCGTGCTTCTGTTCAGTAATAGATCACAGTTGACGCCAAAATGTGGTAAGAACATTAGTGGGACACTCGCCTAACGGCTCGTGTGCAACGTTTTTGTTCTGTCAACATTTTTGACGTCATCTGTGATCTATTACTGAACAGACGCAAGGCAACATGGAATCTACTTTTTAATTTATGGAACGTGTAAGCACACCACCAAAGAATGTCTTTCTGATTGGTACAACTTAGCCTTTGTACTTTTGATTCCACTTTAATTCCTTTATTTGATTTCAAGTGATTGCTCATATGTCTCCTAAATCGAAAATTATTATGCTTTTGCGTGTTGTTTCTTTCTTGCTGCAACTGTCCTTTTCAATCAATGTAAGCTAGCATAAAATAAAAACCAATCAGGAAATGCAACTAGTTTTAAAGTTGGAAATACAGTTGACTATAAAAATAAGCGAAAAAACGAAACGACGTTTTGGTGTCATCTTGGCACCATTATCAAGCAAAGAATGCAACAGAAAATGGCTTTATAACACCTCACTGGATTGACAGGGAACAGTTATGTTTATTGTATAGTTTATCTCACACCTTTACTTTCAGTATAAATTATCATTTCTGTTGAATTCTTCACTTGATAATGGTGCCGAGATGACACCGAACCGTCGTTCGGGTTTTTTTTTTTTTTTACGCTGATTTTTATAGTCAACTGTACTGAATGAATTGATCTCGTAATATTCTCAGTGACCATTAGAAAGTTGCCTTAGACTGAGGTAGTAACTAGTTCTGTTCGCATACTCGTAGGATTCTGCACAGCTGAGAAGCCACCTCGAATGTTTTGTATTGTGTGTCGCCGGCATTCAAGTTTACTCTTCCCAACCTCCGCTTTGCCTCAAGCAAGTCCTGCGACCTCACCTCCGGGCAGTCGATCAGCCCCTGCTTCACATACAGGTATTACTGCAGAGACGGTTACGGCCGCCGTAAGACCAGCGTCGTTGGATTTAAAAGCACAACACAAAGCAAAGATCGTAGTATCTTCACCAGAGAATAACTTTCCTAAGCGCACACATCCACGCCATATCGCCAAGAGATCCCTGTCGTTTCCATTTAGCCCTGTGAAAGATTACAACAAACGTTCGCTCAGGATTTCGAGGAGTGCAAGTACTTCTGCAAGAGACGGTTTCCGGGATGGCAATTCAGAACTCAAGCCTCCTACACCAGACAGATTTCTTGAGTTACAAACCAACTGTAACGGTTCATCAAGAGCGCGAGAGTTTGAACAATATTCCTGCCCGGGATCTCAATTAAAATTATCGATGTCGACGCATGACGCAAGTAAGAAGAATGTGGCCATGAAACAATCCCAGCTAACTCCACCAACTGCCAAAGAGGCGTGCCATGAAAACTCGTGTACGGAAAAGAAACTCTCAAGCTCTGTAACTGGTGGAGGGAAATACGATGCATCATTTTCCAGCATTTCTCTGACAAAGAATGAATCTCCGGTAAAGTCACCAGCTGCTTGCGTTATTCCAAGCCCCAGTAGTGGCGGTTTGTCGCCCTTTTGGCCTGATTCCCCAATTGTGTTTTCCTCTGGTTCCGATAAGAGTCCATTCTTATATGATGCGCCTTCGAAAAAAGACGAAAGAACTGAAGGTAAGAGAAGATTGCCAGCGAACAGTGGAGATAACTGGCGCGTCAATCTGTCACAGTCAAGAGATGAACTATCCGGAAAAATGACGCGGCAGTTGACAAAAAGAGACGAAGAAGCTGATTCCACTCCTAGGATGTTAATGGGAAGACCTTTTCGAGCGTCGGAAGAGAAAACTCCTGACGGTACAAAATTACATCTGGAGAACTGGAACACAACCTCGTCATTCTTGAGTGACAAACAAGCCTTGCACAGCTTGAGGAAGGCAGCTGCTCTTCAGAAAGGCTCTAAACTCCATAACAGCACAGAGTCCCGCGATGATCTGCAAACCATTGACATGGAAATCTCTGAGCCGTCGAACACAGACTCATCAAACCTGACAAACATGGGAGCTGATGATAGCTTGGACAAAGTGGCTATGCGTTCAAGACTCCTTCAAGTGCACGATGATCTACAAACTGTCGATATGGAAATATCCGAGCCATCAGAATGTCCCATTATTTTAAGTCACGCGTTTTCGTGCGCCCCCTCGGTGCCACTTCACGATTGTTCGTCGAGCTATCCAATACAGTTAGCCAGTGGTATTACACCAGTTGCGGGAGGTCTACATTCAGGTGGCTCCATTACCAAACATGCGCATGATTCTCTGGAGAGTTCTTTGCCATCAAATACCGCAAAGATCTCAGAGCTATCGTTGTCAGCATTCAACGATTCTGGGAACTCAAGGAAAGAAGACGTTAGAAACTCCTTGGAGCACGACGAGGTCGATAACGAAATGTCCCTTGCGCCTAACGAAAGGGCATTTGCAATGGGCAGCATAACACTAAACGTGGATATGTACCCCAAAGCCTCGGAATCAGGTGACATTGTAGAACCCGTTGATATGGATATTACCGATGACGTGGAACTGTTGTCTAACACTTTCGAGTTCGAAGATGACCGACCTACAACTAAGAAAACAGCAGGGGTACTCGATGATTACAATGCAAATAGCGGTGTGGAAAGGTTTTCGCCAAAAGAATTGGCAAACGATCCTATTGAAAATAAAGGCAGTCTGGGTACTGGTTGTTATCTCAGTAAGCAGCATGTTTCTGGGACAAGCGAAGACAGGGTACTAGAGGTTGTAGAGAACGCAGCGTCAGGGATCACCACTGACCATTCTAATGACAAATTGACGAGTAATAAACGATCTTATTCTAGCCTGACCTCGTCATCCGAGCAAGATATTGATGCTAGGGTTCTCAACCCTTTGCAGCAGAAACCAAAACACGTTTCATCGGAAGATGCGACTCAGATGACTTGTTCACCATTACCAAGTAAGAAAAACCCTTCAACGTGCTCGATCACTAACCGTAAAGCTATTGGATTTTCTCTGTCACCAAAGAAATCCACAAAGGTTATTGCGCGCTTGTTGAAAACACTACAAAACACCTTTGCGGTCAAGACGAATTGTGATCAACCTTCTCTTTGTAAATCCAACGACTTAAGAAGTACTGAACTTTCTTCTGTTAAGTCTTCACCTCTTAAATCGACCACCGATCAAAGCAATGACTGTATCAGCAGAATAAATTCTGATGACTTTGCAACTATGGACGAAAGTAGAGACTGCAAACCATTGGCTGTGAGTTGTACAGCTTTTGAAAGAGACGACACGGATTTCCCCGAGCATGCAGGTTCACACTTGGGGGGTGTTATCGAAACGTCATTATTTCAAGACTGGGGAGTCACAGAAGACTCTCTGATTAGCGCAGACCATGACGGATCTACTGAAGTTTATGATTTTGTGTCGCAAGCAGACCAACCCGTAGAACCGATTGAAACATGGCCCGTGATTGACGATGGTGATTTTCCAGATCCGGAAATTGTTGTTTGTTCACCACTGAATTCAATAGAAACATTCACGTTTAGATTTCCAGGAGAATCTGGGTTTGATGAAGACGAGGACGAGGTAATCCCGAGGGAAACGAAGACAACCGAGGAAGAAACGATTCTTGTCGAGGAGAGATTTCTAGGTTTCTTTATGGGACCAGAAGTCGTTATTTGCTCGGATGGGAACACGGAAGCGATCGTGACACCTTCGGAAGAACTGGAGTCGGCAGCATTTCCTCCTGAAAAGAACAACGATGAGGCGACTTCAAGAGAGGAATTGAAAACCAAAGGATTTGAGGGTGAGGATTTAAATATAGCAGAATGCTCGCGACCTGTTGACAGGCAGTGTGCACGAACAGAAAGCTGCATGGAAGGGTGCTCAGAGAAGCTGTCACAATCTCTAGCGTCCCAAAGCTTATCCAAAGACGAACCTTTGATCCAGTCAGAGCAGTCGGTAGTATCTCAAGAGGTGGACCCAGTGAAAGGAGGTGATGCATCACCTGAAGTTCCGGAGACAGAGATCCCCTGTCCCGAGAAATTGAACACCACGTTAAGCGGCTGCATGAAAAGTGTAGAGAACCTGTCTATACCGAAAACGGTACCGCAGTTGGAGGAGCCTCCATGCGAAGGGGACCATTCATCAGAAACGCGAGGGGTAAAGACAAGCCCTGGAAATGAAGAAAAGCAAAGATTGGAAACAGTGAAACGTCCGGGCAAATTAACCTGTGCAGCAGAAGTTAACATGAGCAACAGGCTCGGTGGAAACAGGACAGAAAGAGGTGAAAAAGAAACGTTGTTGTATCCAACAGATTTTCCAGAAGTTGTTCATGGGAAGACACATCGTGACAATTCGATTGAAAGAGTACAAGCATTGAACATTCCGAACGGTTTGCCAGACACTAGAGTAGATCCACAACAAGAAAAAAAGCTTCCTGGCTGCGAGGAACCGATAACATTACCAAAGACCCGCATCACTGATAATGGTGAGGTGAAACGATCAAGTGACAAAACTCAAAGCACAGCTGCTTTGAACGAAGGAGTAACATCCACAACGCTTAGTTATCCATCACCACCACAAAGCAGCAGCAAACTTCAGTGCAGTGGAGTAAATGAACCCACAGACTATACCTCAACGAAACATTTGCCTCTGAAGCCTGTAGAGTCAAATGCTAAAATAGTTACGGACGGCAAGCCGGTTGAGGAGACTATCAGGACAGTTCAATGTTCTGGCGTTACTGTGAGTCAGCCTCGTTTGTACAGCAACCCAGAGATTGATAGCCAAAGAGGCAAAACCGGAGAACGCCACTGTGATCGGGATTGTCGAGGTAAGAATGAACCTCTGAAGGACATTAACGATCTGCAAAGAGACCACAGGGTGCTAAATGGGAAAAGGAAACTTGTAACAGAGCCTGAAAATATGGCTAAACAGCTGAAGTTGAGTCCAGAGCCTCCATGGGTGTCTTTAAAATCGCAAGAAGTCGACTTCGGAGACAATCGTCTCTACCGACATTACACGGAAAGAGGACGATCTGAGTACAGACAGGCCGAATACGGTGGACAGTATCCTAGTCCTTATTGGATGGCACCGTCCTTGCCGGCACATCTACCCGTGCGCAACGGAGAGTGGGGAGGACTGCCCCGTGTGGTTCCAAGTGATCCGCCCTGGTACCCACCAGGAGGAGTTACAAACCAAAACCGCTTTGAAGGCGTGTATCCCAGTTCAGCAGATTTTGGTAGGGCTATTTTTGCTCCCATAATGTACCGTGCACGTCCCATGTTCTCGCCACCTGGTACCGTACCAGGCACTTGGCAACTTCCTGGGAATTCGTGTCACGTGACTTATCCCTTGCTTGGACGACGATAATCGGTCAAGAAATAGAATCATAGTTTACAGCCCAGTCCACACTACGCTGGAGAAATTTGAAAAAGGACGTTTTCACTCTGAAAACGCGTCAAATGTTTTCCGTCCACACGACGCCGGAGGAATTTGAAAACGCAACAATTACCGGTCATTTTGGATTTGCGTTTGAGAAAAACTCCCGTAAGGAAATCACCTTGTCAAAATCATTATCAAAAAGCTTCGTTTCTTAAATGTTTTCCTTCCAAAATAAAACGCAAAGCCGGCGTTTTTAAATTCCTCAGTTTGAAGAGCGTTTGAAAAGCTCCGTTTTCGTGACGGATTAGTGTGGACGGTAGGCCTAACCGTAGTAATAAAGCTGCGTTTTCAAATTTCCGCCGTAGTGTGGACGGGACTTAAGTATAGCAAGCTGCTGTGCAGTCAGTACCTCAAGCGCGCGCGCTCCAAAGTACTTTGCCAAGAATTTGGCGAATGAGACAAATGAAATAATGAAAAGGTGTTTCACGGAATTCTTGGAATTAACATGAACAACGAATTATGGCAATCATCGAGGAGAACTGGGAGTGAAAGTATTACAAGTCTCTTGTGCTCGTGGTTTAAAGCAAGCCTTGGTGCGAAACCATTCAAATTAAAACAAGTTTGATTGGCATGAAAATGAAGTTGTGGGTACTTAATTTATTTTCATAGGAAAGGTATTGCATCAAGATTTGCTTTGAAACGGACGGAAATAATCTATGTTAGGCATTCGAGAGAAGGTGCTTGCTGAATGTTGTTGTTATCACCACTCGTTAGAACCATTGTTTGAACTGTCACGCAGTACCGAAATAACGGGCGCTAACCACTCCCGGGTTAACTTAGAGCGTGACTTATTTTACGTGACTGGGGCACGGAGCGTGGCGCTTTTTTAGTCATCTTAACAGGGTAGCTTTTAAATTGTAAACTACAGTAACTTAAAAGCGTTTTCTTCCTGATAATGATTAAAACTGTGATGTGTTCAGTTGACTTTCTCATCTCTCGGGGATTACTGCATCAGTGATTTTCTCTGTCACACTTAGCCACCTAACAGTCACCATAAATTAGTCACGCGAGGTCCACTTGGGCAAAATATAAAGATATGGGGGATACACTCGAATGAATCGGGAGAGTAACATTATTTTGGCTAAAATTCCGCTAAAATTCTGAGTCCGAATTTTGCACAAAATTTATGGTAACAGGGCGTGTCACTGTGATTTTATGATTAGGGGCCGTGATCATGCAGTTTTTGCACTTTGGTTAATTGAGAAGACTTAGAACTCTAAAATGACACTAGTTCTGCCTGCCAATCCCAATCTTTAAAGTATTTATAGTGGGCCATTTTACAGTCATGTGCATAGTTACTTGGCCTGTGAATGCAAGCGAGGTTGGAGGTGACCTTGGTAAGATCCAGACCTCTCTGCTTTTCGCATTTTCACATTCGCCAATTAGTGAGCCCAAGAACAACATGATTTACACAACAAAAGCAGTGAGATCTTTATCAAAACAGGGTCACCTGCAGCCTCGCTGCCATTCAAAGGCCAGGCTACTGAAAAGACAATTTTAAATTGGTCAATAGGCCACGTTCGACATATCAATATTCTAACATAGCTCCGAGGCTTTCGGGCCAAAATTGTAAATTTTCTTTTGTCTCTCAATTCCCAAAAGAGACTTGAACACAAAGAAAACAGCGCCAAATATAGAAGCTTGTCCTGAAAGCCTCGGAGCCATGTTTGAATAGTGATATATCGAACGTGACCTATTGCGATCTTTTGTTAGAAAGAAAACAGAATTGTATTTTAATTGCTGTTGATCCTCTGAGGTGATGCAAGAAAAAGCGCAAACATGTCGTGCTAAAAATGTCAAAAAAAAAAAAAAAAAAAAAAAAAAAAAAAAAAANTTACCAAATTCTCTTACCCATGGCATTCATTTGGCTTTTAAGTTTAAAATCGTTAAAACAAAAAAAAAAAAAAAAAAAAGAATCAAGACAGTTTTTGTCGCCCTTAAAGGCCGTTTATTCCCTCGTTTGGATTATTTGTAAGATACTTGCATTGCAGAATTGGATTATTAAATGAAATTAATATTATAAATTATATTTAAGTACACATTTGAAAATTTTACATATCCATATATGTCATTGAATTAGATCGAAGTTTGGTTAAAGTTTTGTACTTTCAGTTCGACATTTTCCTGTTGTGTTATAAAAATTCAAATATATATAGATGTATCGTGTTTTCCATATAAAAAGAAACTAAGTTATATAAAACTTCAGTACAAAAATTACATTGATTTTATTGAGAGTTTAAAGAGTGAAAAATTAAAATTAAAAAGCGATTATGTATATTAAATTAATGTTTGTTTTACTGTCACTTATTGAAGGTATCATGATGCTGCGAAGTCGAACAGTTGAGTCAGTGCTTGTCATTTTGATCACTCTTGATCGTAATATCGAGGTGACATGTGCAGTGATAAGTAGTAGTTTTTTTCCTCAATCTTGGTTCCAAATCCTCCGTTATTCTTCTCCTTATGCCCTTCAACTGACTTGGACACGTATTGTGCCGCCACACCCAGCGCTGTGAGAATCATTTCCGACGTTTTAGGCAAAAGTAGGAAATAACCACTCCGAAGTAAGACCCCAAAGACCCTTTCAAAATAATTTCCCCACCCTACCACCGTCGACAACTATACCTTAAAATGAGCCAAACCCCCCCCCTCGCCGCGGCTTACACCAAAACGATCAATCTCTTGCCAACTCGGGAGTGTTTCCTCTCTAACATTTCATTTATTTATTTTTTTCCTCCGTGATTTCAAGACTCTGTACAATAAGCGGCATACGCATATTTTTCCTTCCTCACAAAGTGACTTTGACCAGAAAGGATGATAATACTTTGAGCAACAAGGACGATAATACTTAGATAGAACTCGAGCTCATAATCCTAATTGTTTAACAGAAACACGAGTGGAAGTTTGGGAGAACGAGAAATGCTGTGGGAACACGAGCTGACAGGCGAGTGTTTCCACAGCGTTTTCGAGTTCTCCCAAACTTTCACTCGTGTTTCGATTAAGCAACTAAATTTTTCGCTCTCGATTTCAATCGTGCGCCCTCGTCAACTATCACACATAGAAATCGAAAGCGAATAAGCTAACTATTTTAGTATAAATCTACTAGTCGTTCTAAAACTTAACTTCATCTAAATCCTCTTCAGAGACACTTCGAAAACGCCAAGAAGTGGCCGTCGTTTTGTTAACAAGAACAGACTGCTACGCTACTCACTATCTATAACAGAATACATAGTGAGTAGCGTAGCAGATTCTAACAGATTTACACTAAAACTCGATAGAAACAAGGAGAACATGTTTTCTAGAAAATACCGGGACGAAACAACGAAAACAACTTGTTTACCTTGATCATCAAAATGTAAATGATCTTTGGTCGCGCCATCATTACGTCAACAGCTCGATCGTGCTAGTTCTGTGTTTCCGTGCTAGTTCTGATTTTAAACCAATCAGCGCGTATTTTCTTTGGGCTATTTTCTAATGTACAACAGCACTTAGCCGAATCAAAAAGGCATCGTGACAATAGAGGAGACAACTCTCCGGACCATAGCTAGGTATTTGCTTTAAGTTCTTTTGCTCTCTGAGGAGAAATGTGAGCCAAAGGAACTAATCTTTTGTTTGGGTTAGTGTTTGCCCCTCCCCCTCCCCCCGAGCAAGATGGCGTCAAAAACCGTGAAAAGGTGTAGTACGAACGTATTACTACAGGGACTTAATGTTAAAGCCTTAAGTGTAACGCCCATAGCAAAAAGTGTTCTAAAGTTAAGTAAATTTGCGAAAGGACTACAGCTTAAACCGTACCCTCGTTCTTTGAGGTAACATATACCTATACCTTGTTATCGGATACAACAATTAAGATTTTATGACGGTTATTACAAATTCTTCACACTTCTTCTATCTTTATATTTTTCATGATTTTTTATGTGACTTTTTTAGTCAATTTCTGAATTGTTTTAAGGTTTGAAATCTAAGATAGTGGATCTAACATGACGGATATTTTTAGATATGATTCATTAATGCACGCGTGCGTATGACGTCATGGTTGAAACGCCTTTACCACAAAAGTAAAACACGAGATGCCTTACAAGCTATATTAGGCTCATTTCTATTACATAAATGCCTTTAGTATACAAAGGGGACGCTCATAAAACCCTCCTGCCCTCCCCGCAGGCTCACGAAGGAAAAATAGGGGCTCGTGGAAAAATGTTCTATGGAAAACCATCAGCATAGACTAAGTTTGCGCGCTGATTGTTTACCGTGCGGATATGGTGAAGGGTATATATTGAACACTGATGACCTTGGCAATATCGTAATACAATTACTTGTAAGTCTTTTAGCGGATATCTGCCAGCAAAATTTGGCTCCATTCACCCGAAATAAAACAGGAATGGATTCAATAAAGCTAATTTTTCCGTTTAATTAAGCCATTTTAGGCATCGAAAGTGTCGACGAGGCATTCAATCAGTATCGAAACTGTCTATTACCGACCAACTAAATGGCGCCTCAGGCCCTGTTCAATTGTTCGGGCACTAATCGCTGACCTTTACCCGCGCTTCAACTTTTAGAATACAGCTGGTCTGATAGGGAAGTCGTAAGGTTTTCACTATATAAGGTAGTAATTACTGTTCAGTTTATTGAATCACTATTGTTGAAGATTGATTTAATCCCTTTAGTTGGTAAAGTGTGATATTCGCCGCACCTACAGTCTAGAGCTAGCTTCAACCGAAAGACCTCCTCACATCGGTTTGCACACAATTCAAAATACAACGAGATAAAGTTAACAGTTATGGCAGTCAACGAGTTATTGTTAAGCTTCGTCGATATCCATTGCGGAAAAGTACGAAATTAAACAGAGCAACCGTGTATGGTATAAATCGAGACCGGACGAATATCGTTATAAATACAGTACAGGCTAAGTACTGTGACATGAAGAATTTTCCCGCGTCCTTTAATTTAAGTTAAGATCACCGGAACACTTCCCACGGAGATTTTCGTTTTTTAACAAAACTTCAAACTTCCGTAGTAACAGGTTTAGCCTTTGCTCCTCTTTGTAGCGAGAAGTTCACAAAGAGGAACAAAGCACTGAGAATTTGCAGTGGAAATCTCTTAAATGTAGTGGAGTGATCCGTATGACCATTTCAACTCATTTTGTAGCTGTCTTTTTACAGAGCTACTGCTTAATTTTCCAGTGTTACTGTCGATGAATCACGTGAAGTGCACGTGCCGCGCCAAATAAGGAGT